ACCCAACTGCCAATGCAGGAGACATAAGAGACTCGGGTCCAATTCCTGGGTCAGGAAGATCCCCTGGAGGAAGGCATGGCAACCCACTTCAGTATTCTTGCCTGGAGAATCCCATGGACAGATGGAGCCTGGCGGGAAAAACCTTTTTCAGGTATATCTCAGTAAACTTCCCTTTGCATTTTATTAGATAGATTTGCATCACACACCCATGACTCAACCAATCCCCGACAAAGAGTTTGGGACCACTAAAGTGATGACTTTGCTGCAGTGTTTCTCAACTTTGGCTTTTGGGGAGGGATAATTCTTTGCAGTGGCAGTGCTGAACTGTTTACAACAGTAGCATGCTGTTGAGTAGCATCCCTGGCCTCTCCTGTTAGATGCCAATAGCAATTCTCTCCAAGCTGTGGCAATCAGAAATATCTTCAGATGTGGTTGAATGTCCCCTGGGGGACAAAATCTATCCCCCCACTGAGAACCACTGGCTTAGGTCAGTCATTGTTCATCCCATGGATCTGGGCCCATCTCCTCTGAAACATGCAGAGAGTGCCCAAGCCCAGGATTCTGTTAGAAAGGAAGAAAAGGAAAATTGCTATTTTATAGACAGCCAATGGACAGTGACTCCTCCCTTCCCCTATCATTTTTTTCTTGCCATTTTTCAATAAACAGATCAGAGCCTTATCAAAAATATGAAAGATATAAGAATGAGTTACCTGGTATTACCCGATGAATGCTAGTTTCTGTCTAAGTGCCAGGTGGGTAGTATTAATATAAATATCCTTATGTTTATATTATTATAAGGCAAATATATTAATTATATGTAATAATTAATATATTAATCATGTAGTGATATATTAATATATATGATTAATTGGTGAATCAGAAAATTTGGTCAAAGGTAATTTGTATGGAAGCACCAAAATCATGACTGGTTGATTGGGTTTTATAGGATGTTCCTACTGTTGGACATTTTCTGGTACTAAGACCTTAGGTTTTGATTTTATTCAGGTTCTACTTCTACTGTACAAGACCTTCTACTCTTGTTATTTTTATTAGTCATCCATTGATGATGAACTTATCCATCCTGTATTAAATTCTTTGGTTCGAGTAGGTATGACTATTTTAAATAATTCGACAGATATGTATTGGATGCCCATCATTGTCAGGCATGGATTCTGTGAAGGAAAGTGACAAGGCTGAAATACTACACAGAGAGTTAGAGAAAGCTCTGAGGAAGTAACATTTCAGCCAAGACAGGGTCAGAATGGAGAGAAATTGAGGGAGGGGAAATTGCTACGGATCTTTGTGTTGGTGTCGTTAGAAGCTGTCATCTGAATGTTGCTGAAAGGTCAAAGGGCACTTAACAACAATGGGCTTGTTTAAGGGCAATACCTTGGAGGGAGGAAGACCTGAGAGCTTGATTCGATTTTGCCTTGGCATTTCCCTAGAAGAGATTGTTGTCTTTTACTTCCCTTTTTAAGTGTGCAGGTCACCATAAAGCAAGTTGATCTAAGGGACTTTTTTTTGGAGAAGTTAAATTTATTTTCAAAATTATAATACCCTGATGCTGGGGAAGATTGAAAGCAGGAGGAGAAGGGGAAGACAGAGGACGAGATGGTTGGACGGCATCACCAACTCGATGGACATGAGTTTGAGTAAGCTCCGGGAGATGAAGGACAGGGAAGCCTGGTGTGCTGCAGTCCATGGGGTTGCAAAGAATTGGACACGACTTAGCAACTGAACAACATCAACGAATTACAAGATATACTCATCTTTCTTGGCAGTTTGCTGCCCTGGTCCCTCTGTTTCCCTTTAGTTGCTCTTCTGTTTATCACGAATGAAGTTCTTTCTCCTGGCTGAGTAGCCTTTGCTGTCTCCCATCACCATCACCATGCTTCATCCGTGCACACCCCGGGCATAAGCCCAGTGCTTCACACATGCTCCAGTGACTTCATTCAAGGAGAGGTTAACTGCATGCCTTAACCTGTGTAAGCCTTAAATTTTGGAAAGCACTTTCACTTTTCTCACTTGTTTGAGCTTCATGGTAATACAGTGGACTAGGAAGGGAAAATCATAATCACACTCAGGAAGCTAGTTTTGCAGTAAAAAGGGGCCTAGAGACAAAGTCCAATGGAGCCTGCCTTTTGGTTTCCTCTGTCCTGATGGAAGAAGTAGGTTGGGTTAAGAGTTTGGGGTTGTGGAGGAAGATCAGAACATGTTTTTCTTTTGAGGTAGGAGTGAGCTATTGAGGAGCCATGACAGGTTCTTAGTTTTTATCTGAGTGGAGAGTCTGGGTCTATACAAACAAGTCCATTGAACTGGGTCTTAATTTAATGTGATGTTTGCTTGCTGGTTTGAGATGACTAAGTTCTAATCATTGATGAAATAACCAAAGTAATATACCAATACTTTATAATATTTAGACCTTCAGCTGCTGTGCCCCCTGAAGTCCCTTAATCTGTTCTTCTGTCAGCACTGCTTCAATCCTACAACCCCACTGTGCCACACAGGTACCCAAGCAGGTCAGGGAACTCCCTCCCAGGTGTGAGGCATTGCACTGGTCTCCTAGCTTTTTTCAAAGTTTATTCCCATTGTACAGATGGAGAAACAGAATCAAAGAACTTGTCTCAAGTGGTTTCATTGCCTCCTACTCTGATTTTTCTCTTAGACTAGTGCTATTCAAAAAGTGTGGCCTACTAGGCAGCTTTAGAGTCAGTCCATGATAAGAGCAGAAATGAGAGGAAGAGTTTCAGAAACTTTACTAGCAATTTGACAGAGTAACTTTATGCGTGCTGAGTTTAATAATCAAGAATTTGGTCTGTTTTAAACAACAATTTCATATTTCTAGAAGTTTTAGTCAGTTATACTACATTTTACAAAATAGTTCACAATGCATTAAATATTAAAAAATCCCTGCATGACTGGTTCTCAATCAGAGACTGTTTGAAAAACACTGCATTAGACCAGACAGTCTTTAATCAGACTCTTACAATGAAGATGTACTGGCCACATGGAAACCACTGTCATTTAATTTTTATATTTGTGTTTTTTGCAGTTTCAGTGTCTTTAACCCATCTGCAATTTCCAAGAACAGTACAGTGAGTGATACGGTAAGAGTTCTGGGGTCTTTGTTCAGTTTGGCTCTATAATGAGGCAGGAGGTAGACGGGCCCCAGGCTGAACAGTCTCTCCCTTGAGGAGAAAAACTCCAAAACAGTAGGAACTCCATAAAAGCAGGATAATGGAGGAGTCTGGGGCCTTTCCAGATAGAAGACATGTGCATGCTAAGTCGCTTCAGTCATGTCCGACTCTGTGCATCCCTATGGACTGTAGCCCACCAGGCTCCTCTGACCATGGGATTCTCTAGGAAAGAACACTGGAGTGGGTTGCCGTGCGCTGCTCCAGGGGATCTTCCCAAGTTAGGGATCAAACCTGCTCTCTTACATCACCTGCATTGGGGGGGGGGGTGCTGTTCTTTACCACCAGCGCCACCAGTAAGAGACCACATAATCCTCATTTTCAGAGTTAAGGAAAACTCCCTGCCTATCCATGCTCAGAAAAGGCTCCTTGGAGGTCAAAAGAGAGGGTGGGCATCAACCTCATAGTTAGTGATGTCAGCTGCCCATAAGTCTCTTGGCTAGAATTCATCATGGCTAAAAGATACACACACATGGGAGGACCCTGAGAAATATTAAATACAGACTCAGAAACAGGGAAAGCAAGATGATTGGTCAAAGGAAACCCGGAAGAAATAACCCATAACAGTGACTGCAAACTACCATGAGGGCATGACTTTTAAAAGTGGCAATTCTCTTTCACCTAGAAATTCCATTTCTGGGTATTTATCTTAAAAAATTTACATCCATGAAAATGTCCTATGGTTTCCTTATAATGTCATAAAGGAAATAAGTCTGAGAATGAAGAATTTGGTAAATTTAATTTTACACAGCTTCTGAAGTGTTTATGAAGCTTATGTAGAACCAGGAAAAAATCGTTATAAACGCAAAAAACAAAAAAGCACCCCAAACCAACAAGGATCCAAAATAGTTTGTACACTGTGAGCACAACATTGTAAAATAAATATGCATGAGAAAATGTCTAAAGGAAAATAAGCTGAATGCTGAGTGCCTGTGTTAGGGTGAAGGAGTTTTTTTCTTTTCTTGTCCTCATGTTTTATGAAGTGGTCAAAATTATTTTTACAGTGAACACAATTATCAGTTCAAAGGCTGAGTATCAAATAGGGACTGGCACTCTCATTTCAAAGTATTAAGTAAAGTACCAAAACCCTCTTTTGTAATCATCATTTACAATCCCTTACTCTTCTAAAGATCACATTTTGAGACTGTCAACCTCAAAGTTTATCAAATTGCTGGTAGGTATTCCTGACATTGAGGAGGGCATGACCACCCACTCCAGTATCCTTTACTGGGATTCCCATGGACAGAGGAGCCTGGCGGGCTACAGTCCGTGGGGTCACAAGTCAGACACGGCTGAAGCGACTTAGCATGCACTCACGCATTCCTGCCTTTATTTGTATAGAAAAAAACATAACGGACATTCCCAATCCCTTCATTTTATAAATAAGAACTCTGAAGCCCAACTTCCCCAGATAGTAGCAGAACCAAAATATGAACCCAAGTCTACCAGGTTATCTACCAGTGATCTAACACCATTTATATAGTTCCACCCACATCCACCCACGAGTATTAACAGACTTGCCATTGCTACTGACTGTTGAACCCTGGCTTACTACCATTCTGGCTAGCTTGAGGGGTTGAGTCCTTTCTCTTCAGGTCGTGCTCGAGCTTTCCCTCTTCACCACCTGGGGGCCCGAAGAAGCCTCACCCGGTTTTCTCCCTGTTTAAGTCCCCCACTCTGAATCCCCAGCGCCCGAAGTGCCGCAGAACCCCGGCAGGGGGCGTTGTGACCCTGACTCCGCGGCCCCTCCCCTGGCCAACCGTCGATTGGGCCGGCGCGTGACGTCACGCCGTTTTAGCCAAACAAATGGGTTTCGGGGCGAGCGTTGGGCTCCGCCGCGCCGCGCTGGGCGCTCGGTCTGTCTCAGCGGTGCGGAGCGAGCCAGGCCTCCCGCCGCCGCGGCTGTATAGGGGTGTGCAGCTCCGGGCCAGGCCCCGGCCGGGGCAGGAGCGCAGGTGGGTCCGGGCCGGGGTGGGGCGTGGTGCGAGAGCAGCGCGGTCGGGGTCCGGCGGCGGCCACCGTGGCCGCTCCCCGCCCCCTCCCGCCACCCGCCTGCGCTCTTGGGGCGCCGGGCGGGTGGGGGCGGGGGTGCCGCCCGCCGGTCCGGGGCTCGGTCTGGGGCAGGGACTCGGTGGCCTGCACCTTGTCCAGGGACGGCCTGCGCCTGCACACGGGCCGGGCGCTGAGCGCCCCCGCGGGGCTCGGAGGGTCAGGCGGGCCGGCGGGCGGGAACGGGGTCCCGGGTCTGGGCTGAAGCCGAGGAGATCCGGGATAGGCCGTGAGGAGTTTCGGGATCGTTTCTCCCACCCCCGGGACTGGCGGCCGGTGAGGAAGTCGGGCCCTGGGTGGGGGTTGTTTTGCTCGGTCGCGCCCGCCAGGGCTCGGCCGCTCCGTCCTTCCCTGTCCCAGCGCAGGTGAGCTGTCCTTAACCTTCTTTGGGGACCGGGCAGGACGGAGGCTCGGAGGCTTCTCTGGCCTCTGGGCTGGTGCAGGTCGACTGCGGTTCCGTCTCAGTCCGCGATGAAGTCACAGTGTTGTGGGTCCGCGTGTCTGTGACGTCAGGGGTTACGGGGAGATGAGCTGTGATGTCACTGCAGGCCCCGGTGGGAACCCTGGCGCGCAGAAGGGCCGGGAGGACCAGGAGGGGAAAAAAGAGAAGTTCAAGCTTCTGTCAACGCCTGGGGTCCCAGAGAATTTGAATCGAAAGTTGTTCAATATCAGCATTTTACCATTTTAATGTAGTAGTTGTCAAGTTCTTTAACTTCACTTCGAACAAGCATTGTTACACAGTTAAATATAAGACCCATTTGATTTAGGAAAATCTCAATCAGAAGGAATTTTTTTTTCCGGTGGAGGTGGATGGTGGGTGTTTGATTTAAATGCTTTTCAGAAAGCTTAACTCGTAGTTTGATAGCTTGTGATCGGAATTGCTGAAAAAGAACCAATTTGAGTGCTGATGATTTCCTTACTCTTTCTTGCTAGACAATTTTGAAATAATTTATCTCCCCATTTGCTTTTTTGTTGTTAAGAGAGTGGCCTGGAAGCGAGTGGCTTTTAAGTCAACTTTTTCTTTTGTAAAAAGGAAAGGAGGAGGTCTGAATTAACTCAATATTATTGTTAAATAATAATTACCTGGGGATTTAATTTATCCAGGTTGTCCCTACCCATGGATAATTGAGGGTTTCCTGCGGTTATAGCTCACCAAAAAGGCTTTTTCTTGTTTTCCTACTAAGACTGGGTGTAACAGTAAAATAACATATACCAGGAACTGCTTGCCTGGACAGGTAACTAAAATTTTGTCTGTAGTGCTTGCAAATATGAAATTACATAATTTATTAAAATGCTTTCTCTGTAAATACTGCTTTTCTTCCGAAGCTTTCCAAAGACATCAGGCTAGAAGAGGAGCTAGACCTGCCGTTACTAGCTTCAAGTATTGCAGCATATCAGTACTTTTGCTTATCATTTCTTCCTCTCTATAAAGCCATTTAAATAGGATCTAGTTTGAGAGGTGGAGAAGGGAATGGCAACCCGCTCCAGTGTTCTTGCCTGGAGAATCCCAGGGATCGTGGAGCCTGGTGGGCTGCCGTCTGGGGGGCCGCACAGAGTGGGACACGACTGAAGCGACTTAGCAGCAGCAGCAGCAGTTTGAGAGGTGGATGGCTAAAATTGAAGCATAATTGCAATTTAGTGTCTTCAGCAGGAAGCTAGGAAGGGAGTCCTCAGTCCCTCTTCATTGACCTGGGCTTATTAGGGGTTTTCTGTTGTTAATACTTCCTTCTCTTATTTGCTCTTTAAAGGTGATTGAAAAGGTATTGTGTCTCTAGATTTTGCATCAACATGCTGGTGGAAGTTGTGCTGTGTTTCTATGTTTACGCAGAAAATGAAAGAAATTTACCCTTGTTAATTGCTATTAGATTTGACTGGAAGTTTACAAAATAAGATGTTCTTGAAAATCTCATTTTAATACTCACCATACTTTGGACATTCTACAGTATTGTGTGTACTATTTGAAAATTACAATATACATATTTTAAAACATTAGGAATTGTGTGGTGAGGCTCTGAAGACATAATTTGGTTTTTTGGATCCTCAAGACTGATAAGCACCAAGTTAACAACGAAATTGCTAATTCTGAGGGTATTAACCAAGCTACATTTTAAAATGGAAGGATCATGACAAGATATTATGTAATGGAGTTGAAGGAGGTACAAAAAGGACACTTTAATGTATCTTTTCCAATGAACCTTTCTGGGGGAGGCCACATGGATGTGTGCAAATTAAATGTACTGGTGTACCTGGGAAGGGGTGAAAGTCAAACTGTGTGTAAGTTGAAAGACACATAAATGATGATAATAAAATAGCTTCTCCTTGGCAGTGCATTCCCCCACCAACCCATTGTGTTTAGCAGTTTAATGATTTTTTTTTTTTTATGGAAAATGAGTTGATAGGTGGTGAATAAAGGTCTTCATGTATTCTGATATGACTGAGAGACAATGAAAAGTATTTTAAAAAAAGCTTTGAATAGTTGTATAACTAAACCAGCCATAACACGTAAACATTTTTACAGTTTGTTTCTACTTTGGGCAGGTTATTTTTCACCCAGGCCTTGCAGTTTTGGGACTCAGAAGCAGTTTTTACTTCTTATAAATGGAAATTTATTTGAGATCAGTATTATTTTGTTATTTTATCCAGTTGCTGTATTTAAGGGACGAAGTTAGCCAATCATTAGTGACACAGCATCTTTCTGACAGATAAAAGCAAATACAAACAATAAAAGTACTAGAAGTTCTTTAGGATATGTTTATTGTATCAATTATTCTATTAACACATAGAATTAAAATTCTTATACACATTTTTTACTTCATTTTCTAATAAATTTATGCTCAGCCAGTTTAATTTGTGCAATTTTGATACTCTAGTAACCCTTAATCTTATTTTCATACTTGTTGGGGAGAGAACATACTAATGGTTAGAGACATCATTCAGTGTTATCTTCCAAAATTTGCAGCTGTTTAGAACCAGACACTTGAGAGAAGCTACTATGGTAGAATGAATGCCTTCCTTGTTAGGTCATGTGTGACAAAGGCAAAATTCAGCAAGTGCATAATCTGCAGTCCTTTGGAAGCAACAATAACAAAAAAGAGCAAATGAACTCCAAATGCATTTAGGTCATTGGGAATTGAATTCCTGTCAATTCTTACCCATACATAATTTATTCCAGCCCCCCCGCCCCCCTTAGTTCATCTTTATGGTACTTTGAAGCTGATGAACATACTGTATTATCTGGAGAAAGCATTCATGATTTATTTATTTGTTTGTTTTTTTCATTAATGATTTAAATGTAGGTGTTTCTTAAAGTCAGTTGAAAGAGTTTGTCACCTTTTTGTTTCTGGGTCCATCTTCTAGTTTGCTTTCCACAGAAGAGGCTCCAGAAGTAAATGTTCAGCTCTGGAAACAGCACAAACATTTTTCAACCCTCAACACAGTGTAGATTTAAATGTGAAACTAAACTCTATTTATTCATCATGTTATTATCAAGCATGGGTTTTACGCATACAGCAAGCATTTTTGGGTACTCTCTGCCAGGTCCTCAGCCAGGGACTGTGTGACCTTTGTTGTAACATTCTGTTGGTGTGGAGGCCCGTGAGTCTGAAGGGCAAGAATTGGGCCAAAAGGATGAACCATTTATGGTATGCAGATTGGTCACAGGTTTAGTGTGAAGGTCAGTCAAGGAGGTATTAGAAACTCAGGTAAAAAGAATGAGAAACAGATTATTTTATCCCACGACAGACAAAGGGGTTAGGCCCCACAGATTTGGATTGTTCTAGAATGAAGGGAGCTTAGTGAGTGTGCATTTTCTTTCAGGCAACAAGTACTCAAGACCAGAACTAGCCTGTGTAGTCAGTCTAAGACTAGAGATAGAGCTAGAGAGAAGGGGAATAATCTAGACATCCCTCTAGAGGAATGTATATACCTTCCTTTTCTTCTTAAGATAAGTCCTTTAACTGTCTAACTTCTGAAATAATGTGAGCCTCTCACAGCCTCATTTCCACCCTGCTTTTTTCCCCCTATCATTTTATCATGAAAATTTCAGTCACAGAAAAGTTGCAAGAATTGTTTATACATTGAATACCTAAATATCCACAACATAGATTTTGTAATTCTTATTTTGCTATATTTACTTTATCTGTCTCTCTGATCTCTCTGTCAATGTATTTTATCAATCCATCTTATGTTTTGGTTGTATTTCAGAGTAAGTATACTTTACCCTTTATTTGAGCATTCCTATCATGAACTATTTATTTATTTTGTAAACAAATAGTTTAACTTGTCCCTTAGTTTGAACAAGTTCATACATCTCTTTAACCCATAACCCTGTCAGGATATAGAACATCACTATCCCTACAGAAAGTTTCTTTGTGCACCTTCCAAGTCAATTTAGGTAAAATTTTACTCTCCTGCAATCTTAACTCCACCCTTCTGAAACTGTCTGTTGAAAGGGCCTGTCTGTTAACAGTGAATGTGGCATTATGCTGGGGATTCAGAATATAAAGAAATGAAGAACACAGCCCCTGCTCTAGTTAAGCTTATCATTTAGTTTGGATTTTACTTTGGTGTCTGATAAATAAATGTTACATGAATTCAGAAGAGGCAACTTTGACTGCTGTGAAAGCTTCTTAGGTGTGGGTCTTGGGTTGGACTTCTAGGACCCTAAAAAAGAGATTTTTTTTTTTTTAAAGACTGAATAAAAGTTGTGATACTAAAAAAAAAAGAAAGAAGGACTTCCTTGGTGGTCCAGTGGTTAAGAATCTGCCTACTAATGCATGGGTTCAGTTGCTGGTCTGAGAAGATTCCACATTTGGGGCAACAAAGCCCCAACTACTGAAGCCTGAGCTCCTGGAACCTGCGCTCTGTATCAAGAGCAGCCACTGCAGTGAGAAGTGCAACGCTCGCC